CACCGTTACGTTTTACGATCGCGAGCTTATTACGACGTATCTAATTTAAAGAGCGTTCGTTTTGCGTCTTCTAAGCTTACAAAGCTCTCGAATTTTGTCACGTTTTTTGTTTCTCTCACAGAGTAAATATTTCAGTCAAATATGCGAAACTGGAAAAATCATTTTTCATCATGGAAAAATGGCTATGATTTGTTACAACATTCTTTCTTTGATTGGAAAAGAGATATATGTGGATTCAAGTTACACTAATATTATATTAAATTTAGCTATTAAAATATATATTTATATATATATTTTTTTTTTTCTGACCCATTTATTCTGACAGTCGTATACGATAAGTAAGAACATTAAAATATCTTCATATACGGTTGTCTTAATTGAAGAATTATTATATTATCCTCTTTCTAATGTACCCTCTTTCTACAGAATAAAGTATAATTGAAAAATCTATAGGATATATTTGTACAGCACTCAGAATTTAGTTCTATTACAGACACTATAGAAAAGATTTCTAACTTGCCAGGAATTTTCACATAAAATAAAGTGTATGTTATACTATGATGTTTATTATTTGATACGATTATGAATAATTATAGATAAAGCTTACCAAATAGCTTTCTCAAAGCATAGGATTCTATTCCTTATTTACAAAGATAAATTTTAAATAAAAGTTTTTAAGATACATTTCTAGGTTATTATGATTATAAGAGCTGGAAATAATTATTATGGTTGTAACAACCATATAGCTGCCTACCCTCATTATGGGGCAATTATATCAGATCATTTCCAAAGTACTAGTTAACTTTTTTGTATGGGTATGCAAAAAATAACATTCTGTTGTAGCAATCCTAATTTTTTTTCATGTTGTTTTAAAAAGAGATTATAATATGTAACGATAGTATTTGATATTCGGATTTGCTTCTCGTTTCATCTGCATCATGCTGATTCCGAAGAGATTGAGTTTTAATTCTGAATAAATAATCTCTAATAAATATATATCATCTCGTGGGGGCGTTTGTTCATCGTCGAATAATCCCGTCCTCGTTCGAAATAATCTGTACTGTAATCGTTTCTTCCGGTTACGTCCTTCGACCGATAATACCACCTGCGCATCGACGGAATTTACGTAGTACTACAGGGTGTATCGAATTTCGTATTTTACTTGTTTATCGCTTAATTCCACCGATTTTCAGTACCGTTTCTTCTTGTGCAACAATTTGATTAAAAAGATTTTTTGTCATTTTTAAAATCATTTATATTAAATATTTAATTAACTTGAAAAATCTTGAAGAAATTTGGAGAAACTGGATGAATAGGGTTCTTTATTTTTTTTCTTTCCAAAGAAAAATTTACAAAGTTTATGTTTATTCAAGTCGACTTATCAGACAAAAATAACTTAACATTTGAATGATTGTTATAAATAAAACAAGGAGATATTACATCAACATCAAGTGAAAGAATCCAAAATTTAAAATTTCAATGAAATTAATATTTATATCGTGTTATTTTTGGTTTCTGATTTTAATTGTGTAAAAATAGATCACGCGATTACGTATGAGAATTTAATCGCTCACCCTATACATTTTATGGGGTGGATG